GCGGCGGCCGCGGCGTCGGCTGGCGGTGGGCCCGGGGCGCGGCCCAGCGCCAGGTGTCCCAGCTTGGCTACCACCTGGTTGTTCTCAAGCTCGTTGTTGTCGAAGTTGGCCGCGTCGTGGCTGCTGGGCGGCAGGCAGGCGCTGAAGCGGGCCTGGCTGAGGCGTGCCGGGGTCAGCGTGTCGGCGAAGGCGCTCTCTGCAGGGACAGAAGAGAGAATGGCGTGAGGGCCGCGGGGTGGCTGGGCAACCCCCACTCCACCTAACCAGCCTCGTTCTGTGTCTGAACCTACCCTCCCAGAAGTAGGCCCCACCTCCACTCTAACCGGTTACTCTTATTTGGTTCATTTATGTATTTGTTTTAATGAGCCACAGGAAACAAAAAAACAACAAACCAGTTGCCTTCAAGCCAGTTCCGACTCATGGCGACCCCATGTGTTTCAGAGTAGAACTGGTTTTCAATGGCTGTGATTTTTTCAGAAGTAGACTGCCAGGCCTTTCTTCCGAGGAGCTTCTGGGTGGATTAAACTGCTGAAGTCTCTGTAAGCAGCCTAGCTTTTAACCATTTGAGCCACCCAGGAATTCCTTAATGAACCACAGCTGCCTATATTTGGATTAAGCATGATCCTCGGTTTACTTGACATGCTCTTCATCGTTAGGATGGGCAGATAAGGCCTTCTCCCTCCCTCCTCCTCCTCCTTCCTCTCTTCCCTCCCTCCTTTTTTTTTTTATCCTTTCTCCCTCTCCTTCCCGCCTTCCTTCCTTTTTTCCTCCTCCTCTTCCCCTCAAGATATTTTCATGCTTTTGTTTTATCATCTGTCTCCCTAACCAGAACTTAAGCTCCAAGAAAGAGAGCAAACCCTTCTCATATGGGGAGCCCTGGTGGCGCAGGTACTATTCTAAGCTCTTACGTGCTAGTTCATTTAATCTTCACATAACCCTGTGAGGTATGCACCATTATTACAGGCCATTAAGCAAAGGAGGGAGTGGAAGCACAGGGCAGTTAGGGAACACGCTAAGGTCACACAGCTACTAGGTGGAAAGAAGGCAGGGGCTGGGTAGGTCTTCCTCCTTGCTGAGTCCACAGCAGAGAATACAGTGCCTGGGCCATGGCAGGTACTCTTTCAACACTGAAGGTTTCTACAAGAGACAGACTCATTCTCTATGCCAGAAAGCCAAGGAGGAGTTTTTGAAAAAGTCATAGTCATGAAAATACTTTTGAATTATTATTTTTAAGTTCTCATTCAAAAACGTATACACAAATGGTTTTGTGACAATTAGTTGCAATCCCTGCAATGTGTCAGCACTCTCCCCCTTTTCCCTTTACACCCTGGGTTCCCCATGTCCATTCGTCCAGTTTTCCTGTCGCTTCCTGCCTCTTGTCTTTGCTTTTGGGCAGGTGTTGCCCATTTGGTCTCTATACTTGATTGAACAAAGAAGCACATTCATCACGTGTGTTATTGTTTTATAGGCCTGTCTAATGTTTGAGTGAGAGGTGGACTTCGGGAGTGGCTTCTGTTCTGAGTTGGCAGGGTGTCTGGGGACACAGTCTCGGCGGTTTGTCCAGTCTTTGTCAGACCAGTAAGTCTCATCCTTTTTTTTTGTGAATTTGAATTTTGTTCTACATTTTTCTCCTGCTCTGTCTGGGACCCTCTACTGTGACCCCTGCCAGAGCTGTTGGTGGTGGTAGGCGGGCACCATCTAGTTCTTCTGGGTTCAAGCTGGAGGAGGTTGTGGTTCATGTGGTCCATTGGTCATCTGGACTAATATTTTTCTTGTGTCTTTGGTTTTCTTCATTCTCCTTTGCTCTTGATGGGATGGGATCAATAGAAGTATCTTAGATGGCTTCTCAAAAGTTTTTAAGACCCCAGATGCTATGCACCAAAGTAGGGTGTAGAACATTTTGTTTATGAACTATGTTATGCCAGTTGACCTAGATGTCTCCTGAGACCATGGTCCCCAGCCCTCAGCCCCAGTAACTTGATCCCAAAGGTGTTTGAGTGTGTCTAGGAAGCTTCTATGACTTTGCCTTGGTCAGGTTGTGCAGACTTCTCCTTTATTGTGTGTTGTCTTTCCCTTCACCAAAGTTAGCACTTGTCTACTTTGAATGATTTTTAGTAATATGGAAAAATGTTCTTGATGTTCTAGATATGAGCAGGGAGTGCACGGTCTGTGCCAGTCTGTTCACCAGTGTCCTCAGGGCTCAGCACAGTGCCTGGCAAATAGCCTTCAGTATTACGTAGTTTATTAAATGAATAAACAGATGAGTGAGGTCTCTACAAGAGACTGACTGCCACTCTGATAAGAATAAAACCCAGGGAAAGATACAAACAGTCCAGTTATTCAGAGTATTTTGAAGATTTTTTTAGTTATAAGAAAAATATTAACCATAAGTAAACAAAGCAGGAACAAAAGTGTTTCTCAGACTTTCTCAGCCCCTTCTGCCAAGATTTTGTTAAATGTTACCATTCTGTAATTTATATCATAAAAAATTTATTCCTCTAGTTTTCCAAATATAAAACTAAATCATAATACAGAACATACTTTTTCAAACTCTGTATGCCTAGTCCCTGGTGGGAGCCTGCTGTCTACTGCCCAGACACCACACACGGGCCAAGCTTGCAAACGGGCCATTCAGTGTCTGACGCTGCCTCACAGACCTCTTTGGTTTTGTTTGTTTTTTAACTTTCTATATATGAAAAGTTATAATTACACACAAATCATATAATGAATGCCCATTACCTAGATTCAACAATTATTTATTTATGGCCAGTCTTGTTTCATCTATCCCCTCATCTGTTCCCCTTCTGTATTAGTTTAAAATAACTCCCATATTATTTCATCTGAAAGATTTCAGTATGTCTCTCTAAAAGTTAAAGAGTTGTCGTGTGTGTGAATATGCTTTTGTTTTTCCAGTTTGTTTGAAGATCCAAATAAAGCCCACTCATTGTCATTACTCTTTTTAAACTAGAGGCTGCCTCTTCGTCTCCCCCACCGCCCCCACCTTCATTTGTTTTTTGAAGAAATCACCTAGTCTTTTAATCTGTTTTTGAATTAGTGGCCAACATTTACAAATCAAAAGATTTCACTTAACCTGGATTTATAGCTTCTCTTGGAAAGTTGGAGGGTCTGGTAAAACAGGGCCTCCATTCTGGCATGGCAACAGTGGAGTCTAAAGTTTGCCCTTTTGTTGAAAATGTTTGATATCCCAGTCCTCATGGCCCCATCTGGCCCTCTTCATCCATTTCAGCTATTTGCTCGGGCTCTGTGTGTACATCTTGCCTTAAAGACAACCTGAGGGAAGACGTGGGATTTCAATTTGGTTCTTTTAAAAAATATCCCTGTATACAGGTGTGTATCTGTCTATATCATTTTATTTATGTCCTTAATAAAAAGTTCTGGAAAGAAATATAACAAAATGTTAATGGAATTCTCTCTCGGGGGGTGAGATTATGAGGAGTTCTCTTCTTTAGATTTTTCTGTATTACCAGTTTTTTCCTACAACAAACATGTATACACTACAAAATTCTATCATCAGAAACATCTCAGTAAATATTTTTAAAAACTCAAATTTTCAGTGAATAACAATGTGGAAAAATGCTCATGATAAACTATTAAGTGAACAAAACAGGATACAAAACAAAGATGATTTGATTCTAATTTTGTCAGAAATGCATGCATAGGATACATAAGAAATGAATGCACAGGAAAAACATAAGGAAA